CCGGTCGCCCTACATATCGACTACATTGAATGGTTGATGCCAACGAGGATATTTTTTTGCAATTCTTTTTAAGTTTTCTGATTTTTTTTCTTTTTTGTTTATTTCTCTTTCCTCTTTATTTTTATTATTTTTATTAATTTTCTATTTCCCTCCACTTGTTTGGGGCCTCGACGATGGCTGGCCAGGGCCACGATACCCTCGCCCTGCTCAAATCTAGGCAAGAGACCTTTGCTTGTGGCCTGCAAGGGCGTATGGGCTCTCATCCATATCTGGGCGAGGACCATGGCCATTGCGTCGGCCACGAACCGGCAGAAGGAAATAGGAAAAAATGAAAAGAAAAAAAAAGGAAAGGATGTAAAATAAAAAAATTCAAAAAAATTGCAAAAATCATCCACTTTAACACCAACCATGCCATGTAAGACGGCCAACGTCTATGTTAGCAATTTTCGGCCAAATTTAGCCAAAAGATTATAATAGCAAATTGTCAAAAGGTTTAAAATAAATTTATTAAATTAAAAAGTTTAGAAGTGAATTGGCCGTCGTGCAATAAATTTATGACTTTTTGGATAATTTTCTACTATATTAATTACAATCGGTAAATATACTTATAACATTGATATTACACATCGAAAATTAAATAATAACATATTTCAGAAGAGTCTACCTCCTTAAAATAAAAATGTTTATGTTTCTAAAGCGCGATGAATGACCATTAACAACTGTTCTCCAGGCGCTCTTTAACATTTTTGAATGAAATATTACATGCATCGAATATATTACCGAAACATATGTAGAATTATCAGACGCGGTGAGATTTGTTAAAATTAACGTAGAATTCATCAAATTTAATGCGAGATTGAAATGTACCGACACAAATGATTGAAGCACTACAAATCAATAAGATAGTCTCTCCCCTTGATTAATCTTTCTACAGTAGGGCTGGGTCCTGGCAAAAGAAAAATTGGGATAGGATCTCCCCCATCAAAATCGGATGTGAAAGTTTCCTGTCATGATCCGGTTCCAATAGTTACACCAAATAAAAAAAAAGGGGTTTTCGCTTTCAAGTTTTCGAAAAATCTACTCCTTACTCAAGTTAGCAGTGAAGACCAAGCAACGTTTCATCGATTTATTATTATTTTTTATTTTATTTAGATTTTTTGAATTCATTATTCAATTATAAATTACTACGTAAATGAATTATGAAATTCTCGAGTAGTCTACTTCCCTTCGAACAATAACCCATTTAATTAGGATAACAATTCACGTCGCCGTCGACCGACATCACCCTACCCATTCCCCGCTTGACACTCCAAAAGCTAGGGTAGGGCCTGAGCATTATCAGAATTGGGGACTGCACCTATTAATGAAAGACTTGTCCTTTAAGCATATACTAAGGTTTTAGTATATGCCCTAAGGAAATGAAATCGTAGCCTTTTGTCTCCTACAAAATGGAACGTGTCGTGTGTAAAGTAGAAGGCAGAAACCTCGGCGTGGGTGGTACTAAACCAAGATTGCAGAAGTTTAAGGAAGCTAATAGCTATCCACCTGCGTCCTAGAATATAGCTCGAGGATGATGATCTCTTGGCATTGAAGTTTCGATTGTTTAAGTAGGAAGGTCCTTTTTTTCTGGTTCCCTTTGGTCCCTCAAAAGTGACCAAGGTCGAAAGGAAACGGCAAGTGACTTCTCGGGCCTGTTTTTTTTTTTTTTTGCGAAACACGAAGTTTCTAAAAATAATCGCTTGCATTGCTTAAAATAATCAGCTAATGAAAAGAATTTTCGTTATCAACAATTTATGTCTGAACATTTTCGTGGATGAGCTATGAGTGATAAAAATGATCATTTTTAAAGAAATATTTTTCAAATCGTCCATTTTTCGCAAAACAAACACGCCCGAATTCCTATTTGTGCCTCATAAAAAGCTGTGTGGACATGCATGCGAGGTCACATCGCTTATCTTACAGCCAAAGACTCTGAAGATGTCAAAGTAAGGTATCCAACATAATGCTACATAGGGACAAAAGGATGCAAATACTGCTGGTGGAGTGGACAAAACAGTGGAGTGAGAAATTAGGGTTAAAGAAACAACACGATTCAAGGAAATGTTGGAAATGAACATAGTACTAACGTGGAAAATTGGAGACGATGAGTCCATCATAACTGCCTTGAGCTTTTCCTGTTGCATTGACCTTAATTGTCAAAATTAACAGTAAAATGTACTCCGTACCAGAGAATACTCAACAGAAATTTCAAATCATAGAACATTCAAACGTCCGTGTAATTTGTAATGTTGAGATACCGTATCTTAAACTCATTAGCAAGAGTACCGAAAAAATTTGGAGGCGGGTGCTTCAGGCGCTCGACAGTAGACACTGCTATTTAGACTTGATCGACGGGCAAGCCTAAACCAGCCCGAATTTGAAAAAAAACATTAGAATTTTCGCTTAGCATTTGACCGGACCGGAGTTGGTCGGGTCATGTCCAAAGAGGGAATTGCTTGTCTAGATCCGTCCCTTTATCCTTTGGGCCAAACCGGGTCTAAATGGACTTAGGAGGGCCTATTATGCTGCGTGCCTAGTGATCACCTCTACGATTGATTCTAATTCTACACCAAAATGGGTGAGGGCCACAGTTGTGGCAAACCGGATCCATTGTTGATTAAGCACGTTTCAGGTGAAGTTGACATAACACAGGAAATCACTCGTACCGAATGTGCCAACACTCTAAAAACGAACAGTCAGTCACCGATACATTTCCCTATAGATCGACTCGAGATCGTTTTATTCACACACTTTGATCAACGAGCGGGTATGTGCGGGCCGGACCGTCTACCGGGCTTAACGGCCCTTGCCAAGGCCCACCACGATTTGGAAGATGTTAGATGTTCATAAAAAACTATCGGGGCTAGACGGGGCCCGAGCGAGTCTATATGGACGGGCGGGCTCGGGCACAAGAAACTACGGGGTTATCGCACAAAATCGAGCCAGCCGACCTGCTCGCGCTCCTAATCCGCGGGATCGAAGTTCTCTTCATTGCCGTAAAAGACGTCCAAGAATGAAAGCCCCGCGTTGTTTGCTCGAAGATGGGCCAGTTTTGCCCAAGTAATCTTTTCTGCTTCCTCTAGTTGGTTAAGAAGCCTGTACGTGCCACATTTGCACGAGGCCCATTGCTCAAACTGTTCCGCCCCATACGCTGTGCTTTGCTTTGAACCACAAAACGATTTAGAGCGAGAGAGAGAGAGAGAGAGATGGGATTGGGGATAATGTAAGGGTTTTCGAATTAGACTTACACGGGAGAGTTTAACGGGGGTGACGAGTGTCTCGTCGGTGGCATTAACGTCATTGTCCGGCAGGAGCATACCTCACTCTCTTAATAATCGGTAGGTCCGTTTATACAGATAGGACATATGAGACGAAAACTCAAAAAGCAGCCTTGTATTTGGCCGCCCCTAAACTTTCAACTCAAGGAGGCTCGACCCTCCTTACGGTTTTTAGAGTTCAAGCCTCGGTTGCCACCTTGACCATTCCTGTTGAACCGAATTCCTAATTTCTCCTTGAAATCGAGGGTCGTGTAAAGCTCTGAATGTTCCTTCTCGCAATACATTTTGAAACATATTAATTTTCGTTCTATGCCGACCAAACCCGGCTTCTCGGGTCCTAACTAATTTTTAGCGATAGCTGGTCGTAATAGTTGATTTTGGATACAACTTGTATGGCCCCCATTCTTCCTTTTTTCACACTAATTCTTCATCAATCGTTGTTCAAGATCAAATCAGATTTTCCATCTGCTGTGACCTTTTTGAATTACATTCTCCTCGCCAAGTGCAACGAACTTTGCGGTAAAGAACAAAAGAAGGCATTCAATGAGATGCGGACAAAAGGTGCGGTGATAGCAAAGACCCCACCAAAAGGAAAGCATTTGAATCCATGCACGCAAGACCACCAACATACATTAAAGAAGTCCGATCACTAAGACGTTGTGGACCACCTCAATCCAGTCAATTGACGGTGTAGAACAAACACAGCACAAGAAGAAGCGACCCGTATAAATTGGTCGGGAGAGAGAGGTTACGCTGTGGTCGGATTGCCGCGTTAACGTCGTTATCTAGCCACGTGACGAGCATTCATATATCTCGTACCCTCCTCACTATTCCGCACCGCGCCGCCCCGCCGAAAATCACCTCCTCCATGCCGTCATCAGCGCCGCCCACCCGCCGGCCGCAAGAATTTCGCTCCCACCCTCCCCACCACCAAAAGAGCCTCGTTTGCTCAATTGCCATGAGGCTTGAGCTAAAGCTTTGCTCGATTGACTCTAATCATTTGCCTCTAATGCCCCCAAAACAAAGAGCCCCCAAAACAAAGAACCCCCAAAAAAAACGAAAGCGTATGATGACGTCACCGATGACGGCAAAAACAGAGCCACTAATTAGCAAATGTAGCAAGTGTAGATAGAAAGCGATCAATCATGGGCAAAGTGGATAGATCCACGTCAATTTTGCTGACCTTTTTTTTTGGTTTTCCTCCCTTTTGACTTTTTTTTGAACGATCTCAGTCCCCCTCCGTCGACTGAAATCGCATCGCTAATCACCCCCGCCTTCGCCTTGAATTCCCCCGCAAATTTCAATAACGTTGAAACCCCAAAAATCCCTTTTTGTAATTTCTTTTTTGTGAAATTAAAAATGTAAAAAAAAAAATTCGCAAAGGCTTTGAGTTTTTTTTTCTTTTTTTTTACAGCAGCACGGGTGGGCTCTCGAGCAACTTCCTCTGTGATTCATCGGACTCTCCGCTTTCCTTGGCGACCGCGCCGTCAGCGTCGGTTCCCCCGTCGCCGCCCTGGAGGTCGCGGTACCCCGCGCGGCGGCTCTGCATGACCCCCATGGACCTCGACTTGGTCAGCCCCGCCATCACCGCCCGTTTGACCGCCACCCCACGATTGTGTGACGGCGCCGGCGAAGGCTTCTTCCTGGCTGCCCAGATCTCGCCGTTCGATCCGACCGACCTCGACCTCACCACGTGATCGCCGGAACCAGTCGCGACGGTTTTGTGCTCGACGCCGGCGACGCGAGATCCCTCGCTCCCTCGCTCCGCGCTCGGAACGCTGGAGACCTTGCTCTTGCTCCTCCCGCCGCTCCCGATCCTCCTCATCGTCTTCGCCATCTCATCGCCCGCCCCCGCCGCCGCGTCGTCGACGCCCGCGCTTGCCCCCGCCCGCCGCCGCCTCCCCCAGTTCCGCCACGCGCGGGCCCTCCGGCTCGCCTCCCTCAGACCCTCCACCACCTCGGCCATCTCCGGCCGCCTCCGCGCGCTCCCCTTGACGCACCTCGCCGCCAGCGCCGCCACGCTCCGCACCGCCGCGGGGTCCGCCGGCGGGTCGATCCGGTCGTCCCAGATCGCGTCGAACGCGCGGCGCCGGATCAAGGGCACTGCCCAGTCGACTATGGAAGGGGGGCTGAAGTTCACGTCGATAGCGTTCCTGCCGCTGACGATCTCGAGCAACAAGATGCCGAAGCTGAACACATCGCTCTTGGCGCTGAGATCGGACGGCTGGAGGTAGCCCGGGTCGAGGTAGCCTAGCGTCCCCGCCGGCGGGGTGCACCTGGCGCGTACGTCCTCCACGTGCCCCCTCAGAGCGAGCCCGAAGTCGCCCAGCCTCGCGTTCGACGCCCCGTCGATCAGCACGTTGGACGACTTGATGTCCCGGTGGATCACCGGCGGGTCCGCCGAGTGCAGGCACTGGACCGCCTTCGCCACCTGGAGCGCGAACCGGATCCGCCGGGTCCACCCGGGCGGTCTGGAGCTCCGGTGCAGCAGGTCGTACAGCGACCCGTTCGGCATGTACTCGACGACGAGATGGAGCTGGCCGTCCGACACGTCGTCGCAGAAGCCGATGAGGTTGACGAGCCTCGGGCTGTGAACCCGGGACAGGATCTCAACCTCGTTCTCCGCCGGGCTCGCGTTGCTGTTGTTTCCGTCGTTGAAGATGAGATTGAGATTGCTGTTGGCCATCGCCGCCGCCGCCGCCGACGGGTTGGAGGGCACTTTGGTCCTCTTGACGGCGGCGACGAGCTTGCCGTCGTCGAGGACGGCGCGGTAGACGCAGCCGTGGCTGCCCCTCCCGAGGAAGCTCTCGGCGGAGAAGCCATCGGTGGCCTTCACGAGGTCGCAGTAGGAGAACTTGCGGATCTTCTTCGCGGGCTTCTTGTGCTTGGCGGTGGCGGCGGCGTTGGCGGTGGTGGCGATTCTCTTGCAATCCCAGCCGTAGGGGTCGCAGGTGGCTACGGCGGTCTCGCCGCTGCATGAGAGATAACCCATGTCGGGACGACGACGGCGGCGGCGGCGGCGGCGTCGATGTATCGGAGGTTATGGTTCGACGGAGGAGGCGGCGACGGCGAGGAACGGCGGAGACAGGAGGGAGGAAACGACGAAGCAGGCGAGACCAGTGGCGAAAGCCATGACACTTCTGAGAGAGAGAGAGGGAGAGAGAGAGAGAGAGTGTGGTGTGCAAAGCTTGATATATTAGTTGTTTATTTATTTATTTATTTATTTATTTATTTTCTTTATATATAAAGTTGAGGAATTTGAAAAAAAAGAAAAAGAGATGTGGAATGAAAACATTCATAAGCTTGGAAATTCGGGTGCGGCTCTTGATTCTTTGAAAGTAATGATGGCATATTGTATGCAACGAGTGGTTCGAGACGTTTTATGAAATATGTTATACTCGAAACGAAAAAAATAAAAAAATTTCACGAGGTTTAGTTGCGCATAACACGAGGGAAATCAACGCATCGGATACTGTAAAAGAAATTTCTATAATTTTAGTCATTGACAGATCTCCCAAAATCCCCAATCATATCCGAGTTATATAAATAAAAATATCATAAGGTGGTGTTTAAATAAGTGAGGTGAGTTCAACAGATATGCGTACTATAGTATTAGTTTTAGTATGACTACCGGGTCGGCTCCTTATTTTTCTAAGGAATAATAACACGAACGGTCCCTGAACTTTGGCTCAATGTGCAATGTGGTCCCTGAACTTTTAATTTATTCGATGTAATCTCTTAACTTTAACCTAATATTCAATGTGATCCCTGAACTTTTGGTGCATGTTCAATTTCATTCACGAATTATATGAAAATATTCAATGTAGTCCCTGAACTTGAATTAACGGAAGGATTACATCAACTATTTTTCCAAAAAGTTCAGGGACAACGTTGAACAAATTAAATGTTCAAAAATCATATCGCACATTATGTTAAAGTTCAGGGACCGTATTTAATTAATTAAAAATTTAGATATGATATTACACATTAAATTAAAATTCATGAAGTGTTCGTGGTTTTTTTTTTTTTTTTTAAATGTTGTTTGACAAATGCACTGGCGTGCAGATTTGATAGAATTTCTTGGGAGTTGGTCATAAAGAGAGGGGGGGTGTGGTCCGCGGGGGTCAGCATCCAGGACTCGTCGATTTTCCCCCCACGCCCCCTTTAAGCTTTATCTTTATCCAATCTACAGCCTTAAAAGTCATATTCCTCATTTAAAACCCCGTAATTTAAAAAAAAAACTCTTCGCGAAAGCGATTTTATAACTAGAGATTCAATGATCGAGACCCCCTCGAATTGAATTATTCCTACGATTCGCCTGAATTCAAAATTCGTACATAGGGTAAACGGGGAGAGGGGGGCTTAGCAAAGGGTTTTCTTTTTTTTTTTTTTGCCCGTAAACCCGAAAGTCATACTTCTCATTTTTAAAATTGCACAATTTTAAAAGAAATCTTCGCGAAAGCGATTTCATCCGCCTTCAATTTGAGAGTTTAGCGACATAGTTAGCGATCGAGACCCCTCGAATTAAAATTATCCATACGACGAGCCCGAATTCAAAAATTCGCATAAAAGTAAACGGGTGGGGTGGGGCGAGCAAAGGGTGTTTTCTCTTTTTTTTTTCCCACCGATCCAACAAACTTTTTTTTTTTTTTGTGGTCGAGCTCCCTAATCGAACATAGACACCATTCTTTTCAAGCTTTCTCGTATTTCCACGAGGGTCGCTTTATGCCTTTTCCCATGTTTTACCTGTCGACGGAAGGCAAGAATCGCGTCATGCTTTTTTGATAATTTGAAAGAGGGAAAAAGGAGGGAGAATGGTCTGCTCACGCAAAGTCGCGATTTGCTTTCCTTTTCCGCGGCCGCTGAGCAGTAGTAGGTAAGGGCGAATCCGTGATGGGCTTCGAAGACCGTGTGATGGACATTCTTTCCTTCGATGTGATAAACATGTTCTTCAAGTGGTACGGTAACTAATTGAATAAACTAGTAATAAACATGTTGTACGGTAACTAATTTAGTCTTAAACTTTTTGATGACTAGTCAATTATGGCCGGAAATCGCTAATATAGATGCGGGCATGGCCTACGTGGCATGACTTAGGAGAGCGGCGCTAAGATGGACCATTTTCGCGATTTTTTTAAAATTTTCTGAATTTTTCTCCTTTTTTTTTTCTTTTTATTCCTTTTCTTCCTATTTCTCTCCACCGGTCACAAAGGCCTCGGCAATGGCCAGCGGAGGTACCTGGGAAATAGGGAAAAAAAAAAGGAAAAAAAATTTAGAAGATTTTAAAAAATATATTGCAAAAAATGTCCACACCATATGGCTGGCGCTGACTGCACTGCCACGTGAGCGATTTTTTGACCAAAATCAACTAGAAGGATTACATTGGCAAATCGTCGAAAATGTTTAGGACTAAATTGATCAAGTTGAAAAGTTTAGGATCGAATCAATCATCGTACAATAGATTTATGACCTTTTGGACAGTTTTCCCACTAAAACTCCATGCAAATTATACAATATGACGCTCCCATCATGATCCGATAGGCTTGAATTGGTGTCTTTCCAACGGGGAACTGATGAACGAGACGGTCGCTGCAAATCATTGCAATTGCACGTGAGGTGGCGCCACCAATTAAAACGTACGGTGGAAAATTTAGTGGTCCGAAGCACACCATGTTCTTGTTAGAAGACTCTTGCGTCCACGCATTGACGATGGGGCACCCAATGCTTGAAATTCGATACTGGCACGGATTTGTTCGGCCAATTTCGTGGAAATATTGCCGCCTTTGCGGGTTAATTTCGAATCTTTCGGACCCCGCGGATGGAGAAATTAGTTAGTAGCTTAATCGCAAAATATGATTGACGGGCAAGACAAAAAAAAAGTGGTAACTCGATAGAAATTGATGAATTCTCATAAGAACATAAACTCGGTCAACAATTCGAATGAGAGGCTGTAACGCAAAATTAGTCGGTGACTTGATCGAAGAAAAATTGGTAAATCACGAGAGAGGGTTGGTAATAAAATAGTTTGGTAAATTTAAGGAGTTTGTAAAAATAGATATCATATAAAAAGTTGTAAAACATAAGAGAGGGTTAATTTATTTGAGATAAGGGAGGTTGGTCATTTTTAAAATAGTAACTGTTTCGTCGGAATTTTGACTTCTGCGACGAAATACCTTTCACCGAAAACCATTTTTCAATTTTTATTAGAAGAGATAGGTTCCGTGGCGATTCCAGACAGGAAATATTTCAAGTATATAAGGAAACTAATAACTTTGCTTCGCACGGAACATAAAGTACACGAATTTTGTCGAAATTTAATCGACGACAAAGCCTGAGGACGTAAAAATAAAACGCTGGAATTTAATCGACGACGCGGATTGGAAACTACAGCTAAGAAACACTCCGGGATTTAATCGACGATGCGAATCTAGAAACTATGACTATAACGTAGGAATTGAAAAATAACACGTTTGCTTGTCTGTGCACAGCGAGATCTCTAGTATTCGAACATTGATACCTATAGTGCTCACTACGCAACTGCCTGTGAGCAGTTCTTCTACAATTTTAACTATGCTTCCTCGTCTTCGAGAATTTTGGTTCCATGTTCTCACGTCACCATGATCTCATCTTCAGGTGGTTGTTCCCTGAAAAACCACACCTCGATCTCTTGCACTTTGTTGGTGAGTTAACTCCATTCCTTCTCCCACGATTTAGGGCCCGTTTGGTTCGACTTTGGGGGAATGCAAATACCTTTAGGCTAAAGGGGTTTTCCGAAATGCAAGTAGCGTTTGGTAAGTATTTTATAAAATCAACTTGGGCTAAAGGACTTTTGCTATTTTTTTTTTTTAAAAAAAAGCTCCGGTGGAGCTACACCGCCGGCCACCGCCTCCGGCCAGATCTGGTCGCCGGCGACCACCGCCTGAGGGTCGTGCGACCCCGGCGACCGCCGCCTGGGGTCGCCGGACCTCGGGCGTTGCCGGGTCTCGCGACCTAGGCCAAGCGTTACTGGGTCGCGAGACCCGTGCGACCGCCCGAGGTCCCGGCGACCCCGGCGGCGGTCGCCGGGTCGCGCGACCCCGGGCGACCACCATCTAGGGGTCACGCGACCCGGGCGGCGGTCGCGCGACCCTCCGGCAACCACGCCGGGGGTCGCGCGACCGCGCCTGGGTCGCGCGGCCGCCGCCGGGTCGCCGGACCTCGGGCGTTCTGGGTCGCGAGACCCGGGGCGACGCCCGAGGTCCCGCGACCCCAGGAAGTCGCCGGGTCGCGCGACCCGGGCGGTGGTCGCCGAGTCGGGCTAGCCCTCGGCGGTGCGCGCTGGGTCGCCGGACCTCGGGCGGTCGCCGGGTCACGCGACCCGGCGCGCCCGAGGTCCGCACGGGGTGGCGCCGTCCCGGATCTCGGTTTAGGGAAGATGAACAATGTCGATGAATAGTGCAAGTTGCATTCCGAAAATGCAACTTCCCAAAGTACCTTCAGAGGTGCATTGGCCAAAGGTCCCTTGGGGAGCATTCCAAATACAATTGCATTTCCCCAAAGTGAGTAAAAAAAATTGTCAAACGCCATTTGCATTTGGCCAAGGGACTTTAGAGGCCAAATGAGCATTGGGAATGCTGAACCAAACGGGGCCTACTAGACTTCGTTGCTTTATCTACCGGTGATTTTAAATTTGAATATCGTAACTAAGTTTCGGCGCCTTCCAAATAATCACTCTTCACCTAGTGTCCCAATCGGCAACTTTCAATCCCCTTTTAAGCGGAATCTTTGTCTACTGACTCTGCCATGATAATCGTCGACCATGTTCTATCTTGTGTCGACAGCGTAGTCCATAGTTCTCGATGTATATTAACATCGATAACAATTCTTACGATCATTGACAACGACTCACGGTGTTGATATCGATAACCTCTAGCCACGTGCTTACTCATGTCGACGACTTGGTTAATTTTGTTCTGCAAACAGTAAGTAGCTCGACCTGCTCGTTCGATCTTCAACCTCGATTGTCGGGTCGATGAACTCCATGGTCATTCTCAAATCTCTTTGGTTCGAGAGAAGCCTTTCCTACATCACATTCATGTCGGTGCCAATTCAGAGAGCGTAGTTAAGACGATGAGCGGTCTGATAAAAGGCCACTCAAAACAAGAACAGCCGTCCTTCAATGGGTGC